TTCTTCAAAGACGACACAAGTTCCCACGGCACCCAACACTTCCCACGCAACAACTGCCCTAGACTTCGCGTGGTGGAATGTAGCTTCCGATTCGATGCGAACGCCGACTCGGAGCTATTTGCTACACCTTCAGATATGCTAGTAGCTTTGCAGCCGGTGGCAACCCAGCTCCACGGACTGGAACTTATTGCGGGGACAGGAAATCCGCCGCACAAGTACGGTCGTATCGTTTCGCTGGCCGGATTTTCGAGGCTAAAGGCCGTCTCTATTGCCATCGAGTTCATCGAGCATATTTCCTGCTTTCTTCGCACGCTCCCACGCTCGGTCAGCAGGCTTTATCTGCATATCGCAAAGAGCAAAGTCGTTGAATTTACGTTGAATGGCATATAATTAGGATCCGACGCAGGCAATGGTGAAGGGAGCGGCGCATTATTGGTCCGAGGTAGCAAGCGTTAATGATCCTCCGGAATAGCTGGGTGGCTAGCTGTGGAGGAAAAGGCTAGCAAGCTTTGTCGTTGATTACTTCGTTTTGTAAGGACTATGTCAGTTTTCCGTGGACGCGAGTAGTATTGTATTCATGTCACGCATTTCCGTTGGGATGATAGCCGGAAGTCGATGTACTCGCACATTGCCAGTGACAATTCATAGTCGCCCGGATAACTTGTGGCATTTCTGTGTTGATGTTGCATTCAGGTGGCCCTATGTGACCCCAGGTGGCCAACCCGAGGCTAAAGCTGAATACATCTCTTGACATGGCTGACTGCGTAATTTGACCTCGTTTGACGAGGGCTAATCTGAACACGAGTATATGCCCCCTATTCAGGGTAACTTTCTTTACTTCAAGAGCTTCATGCTCGGAGTTCATTTGGAGAGTTTCCATGTTCCAAAACTATGTCGGAGTTCGGCAAAGCTAGCGACGCAGATGACGACGTCGTTCTGCCCCCTTCGCGAGCACCCGATATATCACTGAGCATGTCAGGCATTCAAGCTTGTGAAAGAGCAGAAATGCAGAGACGCATTGTCAAGAGCTACTATTCACAGCTATGGGGCCACGAATATTGACACGCAGCTACGTATCATCACCGTATTGGAATTCCGATACTGCTGTGCTACACTTCACCAGTCAGGTCAGAGGGGCTTTCAGGAAGTTTCTATCAGCACATAGCTTTGTCAGCAGAAGCCATATGCATGAAATCAGCGGGTCGTGCTTGTATTCAAACCATTCTAAGAGCCTCTTCTGGGGGTTGAAGGCTATCTATCGGTTCTTAAAGAGGCCGAAGCTACGATTAATGTTTTCCAGTCGGGATAGGCTCGCACCACCCATCCACGCCGACTAAAAGTAGCCTGAACGGAATAGTTTTCTTTTCAGTAGACAAGCAAGTCCAAGTACAATTCGGAAAGATAGAGAAGTGTTTCATCTCCACGAGTGCACTTAGACCCAGACCGGTAGCGTGAGAGAGAGAATAGCAGTCAAGTTCGATATCCAAGCTCAGCCCTCCTCAATTCCTAACCAATCAGCTACCTCTAGTCACTGAGAAGAATATTATGTCACTATAGATATAGTGACTGCTATTTATACGGCACTTACTCCTTTTATTAACACGTATAAGTGTATCTTATTCAGATCAAAGTCTAAGATTCGTAGAGTCCAAAAAAGACCCCAAAGGACCTCCTAAGACCAGGAAAAACTTCGCAGGTGGCATAAAGTATAAACTCGTTTCAATTAGTATCATAGAATATATTATTGAAGAACTGCAGATAGTCAGCATTTAGATCGCGAGGTACTATAGCTCAGCCTCCGAATAGACTACAAGCTCTAACCCAATTTCACTCTTCCTTATAATCTTCCTCAATGACGATAAGACTAATGGGATAGATCATAATGAGCAAATTTCATAATAACAATCATTGCTACGGCAAAAACTCCAATCGGCTAATTATAGCCGACGTCTTTCACGCCCGCTATTCAAATCAAACTTAAACCAGCAATTGATTATTTTGAGCTGCTAAGTACCTATAAAAAACTCGTAATCAGTATTAGCCAGAGATACTATGTAGGTAGTACTACGATATCTTCTTTTACAAGGCAAGCCATCTTTTAATACCACTTGCCGTTGGCAACACCATAACTTATTTAACATGTTTTCTAAAAATTCTTAAAAGTTACACTTCCCTATATTGTGCCTATAGTCAAGGACCCTAGCAGCTGAATCCATATGAGACGGACGCAATAATAAACAATGGCTTGTCTTTCCTGAAAACAGTTGAAACGCGTACTATTACCCACAAGCAATTTCCAAGGACTTTCGGGCGGTGTTTAGGTATGTATACCAATCTACCTTGTCCTTAGATCGTCCTCTCTTATGCGCATTATAGAAAGCAGCAATATGCTGAGCTTAGTTTGAGCTTCTTGCTCGACGTATGGTCTCCACGGATCTGTCTAATTAATTGAATGCGGAAGTTTTCTAGGAAAGGAAGATACCCCAACGCCGCTCATGGTACTACTCAATCTATCACCGCACAAGATCGCATATCACGGAACAACTGCCCGTCTCGTATAAGTCTATTACTTCAAAGAATCAAGCCGTTTTAACTATGCATGTCTTCCACGTAGAGTCTCGGTTCGTAATAGAATGAAAATATGTGAGGTATTGGAGTAACAACTACTGGGACCAAATGTGCGACAGTAAGATATGACTGAACATGCGCCTAGTCACGTCGATGTCACGACAAGTGACCATCTCTAGTCGCGTACGGAGACACATCCTGAAACGCCACGCGGATAGTGAACTCAGGAGAGACATCAAAGATTATAATCACTCTTTGATCAAGCCACGTGTCACCAGGATCTACACACACATGTCCAATAGTCTGTCCATTAGTGGTGTTATAAGAAGCAAGAACTCACTTTATGATTAGCTAGACGTAGGTTTGCATCGTTCTAGAACAACTCTTTAATCCGGAATAGACTTTTAATCAAGTCCATTGTCCCGATATCGCTTCGGAAGTCTCACGCAACGACCACTTCGCGTTCTGGCTATCGGTATACTATGCTGGGCGAATCTTGCCTCTGGTTCCACGTCGAGAGGGGTTTTTTCGTCAATTGATGGGAACGACGAAGTGATAGCTTTGTCGGTACTTTCCACAAAGCGGACCCGTCGGCTTTCCCTTGTACATTTAACTGGACACCAACAAACTTTAGATTTTGTAGAACTTTTCGAGGGCTTCCCTTGTCTGAGAAATATAGCGCAGGCTATGGAGATAACTATGATGATAGCCACGAGCGGGAATAACGTAACCATCTCACAAAGCTCTTTGCTAGTTGGTTCCATTGATACTGGCATGAGAAGAAGGCTCGGCTTAAGTACTCGAAGAGGGGAGAGGGAGAAGGGGGTAGTGGGGTTTGGGTCGATTGACATCAATTGTCTCTAGCTTCTTACGTGATAGTCAGGAAATGGCCTCAAGGTACCTTTGTTTTGACCATATGCGCCTTCCACAACACTGTGAATTGGGTTTCGCCAAGGTACCAACGTCCAAATTTGAAATTCAAGTAGTTATTGCCACTTCGTTTTGCCACTTCGTTTTGAAAAGGCCGTCCTATTATATGCTCACACAAACCCGATCTTGTTGATGATAATGCTGAGCTCCTACCCGCCTCAGATCACTAACAACTTCTTTGGCTTCAGTAATCGACACTTAAAATCCCATAAATGGACTTGGCTCTAGCTGAGGTGGCAGGAGAGGACGGACGAGCTAGGAAATTTAATGATATTGTATTGTCACTGGACAAGGCACGAATCACGTCGGCCAACACCAACACCAAATTAGTAATCTCACTGTATATATCAAAGATCATTTCTCGTCACTCTCCTATAATCAAGTTGCGTCATTGCATTTCAAAATGACTTAGGCTCGATGTAAAGACGCCTGCGACCATTCAACATATTTCCACAAGCCTCGATATCTATCTGGTAGCACTCGAAGGCTCTTATGTAAACTTGGCCAACGGAGAACAATGGACCTGGCCCGAAAGGTTGTTATTATATATCTCCGATCACAGTCCTATCGGCGATCGCGATGCCCATCATGTGTTCTCTCAAAAGCCTTGCAACTGAAATCGTGATCCAAGTCATCGATTCTATAGACGACACACCATCTGTCAGTCGGCTTTCTCGTACATCGCGACATCTGCATTTTGTCGCAAATCCCATCCTTTATCGTAGAGCGATAGCAGACCCTACAGCCCTGGCATGGGCCGTGTCTCATGACAGGTCCGATGTCGTGCATGGGATACTGGGCCACCAGGCTGATCCGCACCGCTTTGCTGCTAGTTTCGAGTTGAATATACTCCTCCATCAGGCATTGATGCACGGAAGTTTCAAGACAGCCAACGCCCTGCTAGATTTGGGTGCCGATGTGGTATACAGCAGTGACTCTCAACGACGCTCGTCTTGCCAGAAAACGACCGATTGGCTTGCAAATGGTACTTTCGCTCTGCTCGGCTCACTAGCGCTCGCGGCAGGCAGTCGCTTCCACATCGGATTCTGGTATGATCCCAATTGCGTCTACTCAT